AGAGCTGAGGACAAATCAGAAAAAAGGACGGAACTTGAAAGGGACTGCTCTGGGAAGGAGGATCTGGCGTTTCAGAACGCCCGCAATATATCTTGTGTGATCACTCCATTGCGGACATTATTCCATAACGTGTTGTTGTGGGATAACCACGTCCGGAATAATAGTGATGGCGTTCTGATGTGCTATGGTCCACAGCAACGTATGGTAGTTCCTCCCACCTGGAAACATAGTATAGTTCGCCCCGCTTAGCAACAGGAGGAATAGCACAGGCGAGGACTGTATTATACCCTGTGGACCTGGTATGCCGTTGGATGCGGTGCCACTGGGTCTGTGCCATTGGATCTCTCTCATTGTATTGGAGCTGGTAGATGTCTAATATTGGATCTGTTCTGTTGGGCATGTGCCGTTGGATCTATGCCGTGGGATCTGTGCCGCTGGATCTATGCCGTTCGATCTGTCCCGTGGGATCTGTGCCGTTGTGTGTGTCCCATAGGATATGTGGCAACCAATGGGATTGTCTCGCTGCATCTGTACGTTTGTCTGTGCCCTTGGGATCTGTGCCATTGGATCTGTGGCGTTGGATGTGTGCCATTCGATCGTGTATGCCACAGACTGAGTCGGTGGCAGCCCTGTCGTCGTGGGCTCGGCATTGAATGAAGTACCTTTTTTTTGTAAGTGCTCATTTTCCAGTGGCTACCTTGTGGGACCACACGAGATGGGCGCGATTATTGTGCTCTCTGGGGAGCGTGGCCCCACAGTACGACGGTCCTGTTGAAACCTGTCGTCTGTATCCCCACAAAATAGCAGTAGTCTGCGCAGGCGTTGGAGGGAATATTGTAAGCGGGCGCCGTTGGCGATGTCTGCTACCTTAGACTGAAAGATGCCCCAGATACAGATATAATTACCGTACGTTGTATTCGGTGGAAGAAAGTAACCCTTGTGCTCCAGGAGTTTGTCTTCGGAATATCCTTTGCAGATGTTTCCTACCTTGCCACACGCCCGTGCGTGTGGCGGTGGAGCCACCCAAAGGGGCATATTGAGGGGTGAACCCGTCGTCTTGTCTCGAACGGGATCGCCACTGTCGAACACCCTTTCGACTCCTTACCCCCTACCGCCCCCCCTTCCGTCTCCCAGCACAAAACCCACAAACCTTGTCTCCCAGCAAAACTCGCAAATGAGAGACGGCGAAGGTGTTGCGTGAGAGTCTCTTTTTTTTCCTTGTTTGAGAGTTCGTTGATGTCTCGTAATAAACGAGGACATTCCAAATAAAGGTGTCGGTCCACCCCTCCTAAATGACAGGTGGCGGGAAGCCGGGCTCAGTGGAATGCCCGCTGGGCCCCCTAATTAATCCGTTCATACGACCTTAGGGTATTGTACCCGAAAGAAATGATGCGTCTTTTCTCAGTGGAAAAGAAGGGGCATAAAGGGATCGACGAGTTTTTCAGGAGCCTGCCGGGCTGAAATGCTCCTGGACGTGCAGTTGCCCGAGTGCATGAAATCTAGCCGGAAGTGCAAGCAGCGGAACAGGTCCGTTCTGACGCGGCTAATTTTGCCCTTTTGAAGATGAAGCGGCTATTTCTGCACTGTCCCCTTCACTGTTTCTTGAAAGTCAACGAGTATCATCATTCACTGGGAAGGTTCTGAGCTTCTGACCCTGTGGATTAAGGTTTACCTTCTTCCGCCGAATACAACGTACGGATATTCTAGCTGTATTTGAGGCACCTTTCAGTCTAGATACAGCTATAATGACCGTACGTTGTATTCGGGGGAAGAAGGTAGGTTGCGAATGGTCGATCCATATTTTCATCTCGCATTCATTTATGATTTTTTAAAAACTGATCAGAACAGATACTACACTTGGTCTTACCGTCGATTTCGAAAAGCGTATACATAAGCGCTGCCTCCCCACCTCGAAGCAGATTCAGCAGCTGAAAAGGCTCCCCCCTCGAGGCAGATTCAGCAGCTCAAGAGGCGTCCCTTATTGACAGGCAGGGCTTGCACCCTCCTTTTGTGGTGTAGGCCGTCTTGTGCCGCAAAAACGCCTAGAGTCGACTGTTCGGTTGTGCTAGTCCATTTGTTTTTGGGTGCATACCTAGTCTCAGTGGACAGAAGCTTAGTTTTTCTTTTTTTTTCAAGGTCCAGGGTGTAGTAGAGGGTGGAGGCCAGGCCTCAAGGAGTGACTCGGTACTTGATCCATTGGGAGATGAGATGGATTGTGGGGACCCTAGGAGTTATCTCAAGGTGGCACCACAGTATCGTGACCTATGCTAATGCTCAGATCGCGAGCCGTGATCTGCTCCGACGCTTACAGGACTAACCCGCACATCTGTATGCAGATTGTACCCTGACCATAGGGCTAAGGACGACTGGGGCACAGGCAGGGTCCATGCGTAGTGCAGTCATCCCCTTTCTGCGCCACATCCCTACAGACTCTATGGGCAGCGGACTGTCCATTCTGCTAAGGTGCGATATCCCACCTTCCCTCTATCCTAGGTATGATGCCTACCTATCCCAAAGCTCCCTTAGGACTCCACAATCTTCCCTAATTCCCCAACGAGTATTCCCTCAGCCCCCCTACCTGGATTAAGCACCCCCCACAGGCATCTGAGATGCCAGTGGGATGAGAAGTACCTGATCTCCGTCTCCTACTACCCCTCTATTTGTGTGTAGAATTTACCCCCCGAAATGGGCCCCACTGTAGCCAGGCTTTCTCTGTGTGGACTCGTGCATAGGTGTCACAGTAGCGGGAAACCCCATGGTACCTTCGCTATCATGACACCCACACAGGCGAGTACATACTGACAGGACTGACAGATCAGAGGGGTCGAAGTGGCTACGCTGCGGTTCTGACTGTTGCATCAATTGCACCATTTGCAGACAACCGCATCCTATTACAATCATATTACGGGCAAATCCAACCAGGTCTATCACACGTACAGACAAGTCTAACCGGTTCTGTCTATTGGCAACAATCCCAATCAAGTCCATACATGTACATCCCCCCTAATCCCCGTAACCCCCCCTAAATACTAACCCCTATGGCCCATGGCGGAGCCAAGACAAGACCTGATCCTCGAAACCCCCTCAAGACAAAGTACAGCAGCCTTCCCCATGGCCCTATCCAACATGCTACACCCATGGACCTAAACCCCTTGGGCGGTGCGCAGGCAGTGTCTGTATAAACTTACCGTGCGTAGTCCCAAGGGGGGGCCGCGAATGGCAGGGCGCTATGAAACTGCGAAACGGCGGACGTGCGCGAGGCCGTGAGTTTTGAACCCACGACCTCATACCACAATGCGGATTTCCAGCCGCCACTGAGCATCCAGCGACAGCTTCTAGAGCCTTCGTCCTACATGCTCTTGACACTTGCTTTGTAGAATTGTTTTGCATAACGGTCAAGAAGCCATCACTGTTCGTTGTGATTGAGGCAAGCTGTTTTACCACCAGATGGACGACACAAATTGGACCCCCTAATCAGTCGGTGAAAGTCCCACTGGAAGAGTCTGTCTTGCACGGTTCTCTTTTGTGGAGTGGTGTACAGCGAACATGAATCCTTGGCTGCGCGGAATTGAACCCAAACTGTAATTATGGTGGACAACACAACGGCACGTGAAAAGGACCACACAACACAGCAATAACTTTTGAGTGTTTACCGTCTGCTACGGTGAGCGATGTGGACCTACTCCCTCCTGTGGTTGTTGGTTTTCGAATCTAGTACCGTTGTGGTAGCCGGGGACAGGGGGGGGGGGGGGGGGGGGGGGGGGGGGGACCCCGCTTCCTCCTGTGGTCTTGGAATCCGCCGCTTTGTGGCTCCTGTTTTCTTCCACGTTTGTTTTGTAAGGGGTAGTCTTGGACTAACATTGTTATAAGCTCTTGATCTATTTGTTAGCAGCTACTTGTGAGGATAACTTAGCCAGGAGGCTGGTACACAAACACTCCACGTTTGTTTTGGAAGGGATTGTGATCTGACTTGGGTTGAGCTCTTAACCTGTTTGGTAATAGCTACGTGCGAGGATAATCTACCCGGGAGGCTGGTATAACACTTTTTTGGGGGTTATGTATAACAGGTTGCGTACGATGGAAGATCTTTGCATGTCCCCTCCCTTTTGTCTTTTTCCCTCTTCAAGATTTTGGTGGTTATTTGCGAAATGCGTGTTCCAACTGTGGCCTGTAGATTCAGAGGAAGGACTTTCGGGCCTCGCTGTGCCACTCACCAGATGTGGAAAAGAGCAAAACTTTTGCGGGTGTATGTATCCCACAACCTCGCTGATCATGCACTTGCCATGTCACAGATTTGAACTTGGGACCCACCGTCCATTCTAAATCGGTTCTGTTGCGGTTTTGGAAATTTTGGAAAATGAAACTAATTCGCCGAACCAGGTAAATTGCCAGTCATGATTATGAAATGATTGATTCGCGAAGTTGCAGCACTAGCTGATTCTCTTGAGGATGAGGGCCTCGTTGCACCACTCGTCAAATGCCAACACTTTCAAAGAATAGGGGTTGTAGTGCCGGTTCATACGAAATGGTTGCGTTTGGTGAGTGGTGCGGCGAGGCCCTTAGTGTTTTCATGTTTCTTTTGAAATATGAAATATCCAATATTCTGCTTTTCACAAAATTCTGAAGTCCTTGGTTGCCGTTTTTGCAGAACGTTGGGTTGGGCTTGAAATTGCTGTGTTGCACTCTCGATTACCATCGATTTTGGATCGAAGGTCAAACAAGAGCCAGATCCATGTTTATGTGTGGGGCATGCATGGACACACACACACACACCCACACATCCGCACACCCACACGGAC